ACATGCGTCATTGAGATACATGACATAGCTTCTGACATGCGTCATTGAGACACATGACATAGATTTCTGACATGCGTCATTGAGATACAGGACATAGATTTCCTACATGCGTCATTGAGATACAGGACATAGTTTTCTGATATGCGTCATTGAGATACAGGACATAGCTTTCTGACATGCGTCATTGAGATACAGGACAAAGATTTCTGACATGCGTCATTGAGATACAGGACATAGCTTTATGACATGCGTCATTGAGATACAAGACATAGATTTCTGACATGCGTCATTGAGATCCAAGACATAGATTTCTGACATGCGTCATTGAGATCCAAGACATAGATTTCTGACATGCGTCATTGAGATCCAAGACATAGATTTCTGACATGCGTCATTGAGATATATGACATAGATTTCTGACATGCGTCATTGAGATCCAAGACATAGATTTCTGACATGCGTCATTGAGATATAGGACATAGATTTCTGACATGCGTCATTGAGATATAGGACATAGATTTCTGACATGCGTCATTGAGATCCAAGACATAGATTTCTGACATGCGTCATTGAGATATAGGACATAGATTTCTGACATGCGTCATTGAGATCCAAGACATAGATTTCTGACATGCGTCATTGAGATCCAAGACATAGATTTCTGACATGCGTCATTGAGATATATGACATAGATTTCTGACATGCGTCATTGAGATATAGGACATAGAATCCTGACATGCTTCATTGAGATACAGGACATAGATTTCTGACATCCGACATTGAGATATATGACATAGTTTTCTGACATGCGTCATTGAGATACATGACATAGCTTCTGACATGCGTCATTGAGACACATGACATAGATTTCTGACATGAGTCATTGAGATACAGGACATAGATTTCTGACATCCGACATTGAGATATATGACATAGTTTTCTGACATGCGTCATTGAGATACATGACATAGCTTCTGACATGCGTCATTGAGATACATGACATAGATTTCTAACATGCGTCATTAAGATACATGACATAGATTTCTGACATGCGACATTGAGATACATGACATAGCTTCTGACATGCGTCATTGAGATACATGACATAGATTTCTGACATGCGTCATTAAGATACATGACATAGATTTCTGTCATGCGACATTGAGATACAGGACATAGATTTCCTACATGCGCCATTGAGATACAGGACATAGTTTTCTGATATGCGTCATTGAGATACAGGACATAGCTTTCTGACATGCGTCATTGAGATACAGGACATAGCTTTATGACATGCGTCATTGAGATACAAGACATAGATTTCTGACATGCGTCATTGAGATACACGACATAGATTTCTGTCATGCGACATTGAGATACAGGACATAGATTTCTGACATGCGTCATTGAGATATAGGACATAGAATCCTGACATGCTTCATTGAGATACAGGACATAGATTTCTGACATGCGTCGTTGAGATACAGGACATAGCTTTATGACATGCGTCATTGAGATACAGGACATCGATTTCTGACATGCGTCATTGAGATATAGGACATAGATTTCTGACATGCGTCATTGAGATACAGGACATAGATTTCCTACATGCGCCATTGAGATAAACAAATTACAAGTAGGAGTTTTGTTATAACTGTTTCATGTTTACACTCATTTAAATGTCACGTTAAAAAAGGTCAGAACTAGCATATGGCATTGAAATACTTCCACGAACATTTTGGACCAAAGAATTGTCATCTAGATCTGCAAGTAGGGCGATGACAGTGCATTTGTATGTCAAACTCTTCTCAGAATTACACTCACTAAAGTGCTATCTTGTCGGAAGATATTATCAAGAGGGAGAGCATGGTGGGCATTCAACTTAAAGAGAGTGAATATCTAAGTAAGCTCGCAAACACGGAGAACAAGAACAGGTAAGTGAAATTAACTTGACAGTAGGTGCGTTTTGCTCCATCTGATAATTGAGGAGTGTTGCTAAACTTGGCACCAGGTTCATTATAACGAACGTGACCAATCAATGAATGAAACAATTGGTCGCTATTTAGACTAAGGAATTATTCTTTGTTTAAGAGAGAAGTATTTAATTTGTTCGTTTTTGTGCGAAAATGTTAGCTGAATTTAAATAGACAACCAGAACCTCCAAACCAGTCAGACACGTCAATAGCAAAACATAGGACACAACGAACGAAGTTCGTCTTCTTTATAGTCATTATCGTACAGACGATACATTGGACCTGAAATGCACGGATTGTATGCGTTATAGTGAAAACTTAAAACGTTTATATATCATAAAAATCAATAAGGTCCATGGGACCTACATGTGTATCGATCACCTGTTATTTTTCTAAACTTCTAAAGTAGATAAGAAAATGACATGTTTCTTCTCGTTTGAGATTATATTGGAACTTTCCGATATTAGTGCGTCAAAACTGTATATAATATTAACTCTTGGTCTTTTTTTTTTTTAAATGAAAGCATCTCTTTGATGTTAATAGTGTGACAAGAAATGTCTATTTGAACTGCCATCACCCTTCCAAACTTCATATTTGTTCATTATCCCATTAAGCTCAAGGACAAATACCAGTACTCTGGGCGCAATGAATCGTTCTCAGAAATAGTTTAAAACATGGACAAGGCCATAAATGTTAAACTTCATCTCATCAAATTACTTGATTGATATGAGAACCTTTTAAATTAAAAAAAAACCCATGTAATCTAAATAAAATATATTTGTTATCTGCTTTCCGGTTCGTAGACGTCATTGAACGACGAACACATATGCCTTGATGCAGAAACGATAGACGGTACACTACCACATTATCTCTGTGGTCGTTATAAAGCAATTACTATGTAATTGTAATAAAAAAGCACTAAAATCGTGCCATTAAAAACATATAAATTGTTACAGTGAAAATATTTGTAAACATAGGAACAATGTAAACAGAAGTAGAAATTAGAAATGTTTTTATTCCAATCGCATTACACATTAAACTCGTTATTTTTTATTAACGTTATAGTAACATCGAAATTCCACTAGACTCGCTCATTAATTTCCTCTGTATATGTGCACACATAATAACGAACAATAAACAAGGGAGTTATAACGAGGCTAATACATAAAAAAAAATACGAATATTGGATATATACATGTATCCTAGAAATGAGTGTCATTTTAGATAGAACGAAATTGGCCATATCCCTTGACGCACTATATTTTTAAATTGGCGCTTCCTACTTCGTGTTTCTAGTTACTATTTCACAAAAGAATACAAGTCCATAGCATATTTGAGTGAAAACATAACTTAACGATGGGTTTCGCTGTCGTTAGATATTTACAAATATTGTTGTAATGGTTTTCTTTGTTTAAATCAATAAAACTCAGCATAATATAGAAAGTAGGATCAATTCATGTAATCATATTGTGCTTTTATATGCTAAATTGTTCCTTCATTAATCATTAAAATCTAGTTTTTTGGCTTGGCCACTTAATACCGTGGTGATGTTTTTTAAGGCTGACTAGAAAGCTTTATGTAAAAGTTCAAATCCGCGCTCTTAAGTTCACTCTATCACCTATGGTATTCATTTGAATTGGTGGTTTTTGTATGGAAAGTTAAAATTTCCATTAAATATACAGCTTTCTATTTATCCACATGTGAAATCTTGTAAAAAATAACGATTGCTCATTTTTACGATTTCAAGGGGATACAATTTGAAGACTGGCTCATTACAGATTTCCAAACAATGGTTCAGCAATATATAGGATAAAAAAGAAATCAAACGACAATGTCGATTAATAGAGACAAAGAGAACTCAAAATCGGCACGAAAACTCAACAACGGAAACTAAAGGGACGTAACAACAAAAGGAAAGGTGTATAATACGAATTTGTCTCCATGGATTTGATAACAGTCTACTAGAAAATCTTGTCAAAGGTTGTATAAAACAGTTCGTCCTTATACACCTGATTGAGATTCCTCCTATAAACTGTTTATTACCCCTTTGAGAAAAATCTAGGAATCTGATTGGTTAAAAACCACAGTGTACCAAACCGCATTCGTAAATCTCAGGGGGTATACGAAAATCTCAGGGGATATACGGTCATGCCACGTGATTCTCAGCAGTAATACGGTGGAATCACGTGATTTTATAAGGGATACGGGTAACGTGTCTTTTTATCTTGCGGCAGGTCAACGGGAGACAACTCGCATTCGTCGTCTGCTTCGCTGTTTACAAAATGGCACAACTTTTCGCTTCGCATACTAATGAGGAAATACTCGCCAAAAGGGCTAACTATGAGCTACAAAACACACAAAAGTCGAACAGACGAGCGGCAAACATGCTGAGGACGTATTTAAAAGAAAAGAATCAGGAAGAACAGTTCGAGGAATTTGATAAAACGAAACTAAATGAGGTACTGTGCCATTTTGATCTTGACAACAGAAAAGTTATAAAAGACTCAAAGGGGTAATACATTCGTTACACGGATTTTTGGCAGTGAATACGGGAAGGTATGATCCTACAGGATTTCGTATTTCCTTCGGCCGATAACGTAACGGAAGCATTAGTATAATATGACACCCCCTCGCCTCCTATACAGTGTGTGCTCTATGCGTGTTTGTATGCTACAAATTGCAAAGGTGATCTGTTTGTTGTGTCTGAACTTCTAAAAGCTCATATATAGCGCCATACCTATTGAAAACAACATTAAAAAACGATAAAACCCCACCAAGACCATTATACATGTATACACTACTTAAGAGAGACAAGTTACAAGGATAACGTGTACTGTTGAACACTATCCCTGTTGTATGCAGCGTCTAACATATGTACGTTAGCATTTATATACATGTATGTCATCACATCTTAATTAATAACTAAATTGTAATATTAATTTTATGTAAAATATTATCAGTTTATTAAAATAAATTCTCTTTTTCAGAACCATAAAAACTGGCGTTATGTTTGTCTTTCTTGAAAATGCGATCATTGAAACAATATTAGTTTATTTTCAAAAAAATATCCACGGAAACTACCTTGTTCTTCTGTGACATAAAATATATACATCTTTCTTATTCTTCAAATAATGATAAAGTAACTTCAAAAACAAAAATATATATTAGCGTAGCAAAATATGGTACAATCACTGACGGTAAAAATTATGTGTGTGCATTTGTCCGTTCACAGGAACGCGTTTTCTATTTTCGTGGTTGTCTCCCTTTGCAGAACACAAGACGGTGTCTTTCGAGCAGGACAGTCGGGGTTGGCTGGCTGTAATGGCAGTATACTGAGTCATGGACACGTTAGGTGTCCTCGTGGCTGTGTTGTTTCGGATGTGAAGTTCACGAGTACAGCTACGACAACGGGACCGCAGATAAGAATGAACCTGTAAATAATAATAATATAAGCTTTAACAAAAACTGCCTTGAAGGATCGAAAGGATGACTTCCTTTAAAATAACATATTAAAAACCCCTAACAAAATTAAAAGAAATCCTACTTTAAACACATTTAAGAATCATATTGATATATCACATGTTTTATAATAATTACGAAACAGTACATGTACTTGTTTGGAAAAGTGATCAATATACAGACACTAAAAAACTTAAATTTTCATAAAAATAATGACGTTAATATACGAATGTACGACAAAAATGTACTCCAGGAATCTAAAAATGACTTATTTAAGATTCTTTACGCAGGCTTAATCTAGCCATATTTATAGACTGTTATCGTACTTCAGCTTGTATGTGCGATAAGTTGAATTATCGGATAGCTTACCTCTCCACTTCCAAAGCAGTATATCATCGTTATAACAGCACCCTGTGAAATTGTTAAAAAATTAAGTTATATTCATACAATTTACGAATCCTACAAGTATACCATTGGAGATCAACTTTATAGATAAATACCATAAAGTCCAGGGTTTTAATTCAGGCTTAGTCCCACTGTAACAGTTGATTATATCTTATTTCATATTTATTATTTCTCATAAGGTAATGTATGGTTTTCTATTCAGAAGTGATTTATCAAAGCTTTAGTCCTACAGGGGAAACAGTTTCCACAGTTTTTGGCAGTGGTACGGGGATCCTTAAATGACATTCACCACAGCACACCTGTATTATTCACAAACGCTTCCATCACTCACCTGTGAATCTGTGATGATTTTGGAGATGATTTCGTAAAGAAACCGATGAGGAGTTGAACCGTGTGGGCGATAGATGATAACGAACATCTGGATCCCAAATAATGGCACAAGTACAAATGTCGCCTTGATAGCACGTCTGTAAAAGATTTCTTTTGTATATTATGTACCCTTACCTGTCTTATTTACCTCAATTTAATATAAACACTTTTTACATTACCATAGTATACTAAACGATCTATGTTTTCATATCGAAGCAGTTGTCAATGATACCTATTATTAAGTCACTGACTAATATTGTTATAAATATATACATCTTTATTGTTTTCCCTTTCGCACGTGTTACATTATAACTCGAACTATCTTATCGAATTTTTCAATCGTTATTTATCTTTTTAATAATCGCTCTGCAAAAGTGTTATTATTGAATATGCTTAAAATTACATACTTGAATTTGAAAATGTTCGTGGTCAAATATCGCCTATCTTTATCCGACAGTGCAATATCACCAGTCAAATAACTGAATCCGGCATTACAAACGGTATACCGGAAATGTTTACCCTAGTTTAACTTTCGACCTTTTCGCCCTTAGTAATGGGAATGAATTGATCATACTAGAGAATAATATAACACACTATAATACATAGCAAATACATTTAAAACGGCAAAATTTATACCGAGAAAATTTTTGTTTTTCATGGAATGACAGCTATTGACTGGGCGAAAACTTCCCAATACCCGTGTCCTACCAAAGAAGCCTGAAAGTCTGTCAATAATTAATAATGATATAAAAGTATCCCATTTATTGTTCTTAAAATCTATTTTGAAGCAAATTAAAGGGGGTAATTTTTATATCATCATTGTAATTAATGATTGACAGAGTTTCATACTCTGAAATGAATCAATAAATATACAACATTTGATATAGCGTCCTACCTAGCTAGAATAAGCCACTCTAAAGCGCTCTTCAGTACAAATAGTTAAGTAAATAATATATTGATTAATACAATTTTGAGGTATTTGCAGGAACTCAGTTATCAGGCGTTACCTACTACCCCTATGCCACCTGGCTAATATCTCTGTTTGTATGTAAGCCTGCGTGTGTGCTGGAGATGTATTATGTTCTGTTTGTAGTGGGACCGTGTTTCCAAGGGCATCATTTTTAGTGTCACCTCACTTGAATGCTACAGCACAGATACTGCAACACCCACCCCAGACCATTTTATATTCCACTCTTGTGATCCAAAAATGTACTGCTACAATGTACTTGTTTGTTACCTGTAGCCACTAGGCTCGTTGGGATGGGTTTGAAGCTGGGACACCATTATCCGCAATATACTGCAGAGAAACAAACAATTCGCCTGAAACAGAAAATTCTGCAAATAAACACGACATCCCATAATAGCTTCTTCCATATATAGAATTAAGTGTATGGAATGATGTGTTTTTATTTGTATCATTTTTTAAATTTTCTATCGGTTTGATTTCATATCCAACGTTTACTAATATTAATATTTATTTTAATGTAAACAATTACCACAAAGGACCATGCTGAAAGCTACACTGTTGCATGTATTTATCGACAACTTACTAAAATGCAGCAAATGTTCGGTGTGTAAATTATCCATTCATAGGCACCAATATTCTTGATCCAGCACCTGAAAATAGAAAGAGGAATTATGTTGTCACTTATGTGTGTTCAAATCAATTATAGTTGGGACTTTTTAATTGCGTTTTTTTCATGTATAATTTAAAGTGCACATCGTTCGTGGTTGTTGCATTTTTGCTTTAATTGCAGTGTGAATAAATGCATGAAATACAAAACCTGTATAAAAGCAAACGTGTTATTTACCAAAGGGTGAAAATAATAAAAAACATTATACCAAAAGGTCATCTAAGTAACTGTATGTATTGCAAGCTACTCCGCAAAAGGACACATAACATATTTGAAATAATATACCTGAATGTATAAGATGTTGGATTACTTGATATACATTGTATTTGTATTCGGTAAAAGATTTGCCAAACCCCTCGTTCGGAAGAATAAAGTGTAGATTCAGTTTAGAAGAAATTGAACAATTTTTTCGCTACTATTTCAATGCAACATCAACTGATAATATAGCATTTTTAGTATCACAAATCGACTGTTATAGACATTCTTCTCGATTCCTTGCTCTTAAATCTACGTTGTCTCCCTTACAATACAAATAGAGAATGATGAAATGCATCTTATATCATATCCAAATTGAAATTTAACATGACAACAAAACCAATAATATGGACAACATATTTCAATACGCATGCATGAATGTCACTTTTTAAAAATTGTTTTTATTTTGTTTAGACAATGCACCATTGCTCCCTAGACACAAACGATATACTCTATATGATTATTGTACAAACCCGTGATTAGCGATTCCAGCTTTGATGACAGAATATATCGATAGTGGTACAAAGGGAAGACCTACAATGAAACAAACTGATAATTACCTTCGAAAATGTCATTACTACAACAGAATAGCAATTTATCGATATTGATATTTAATTTTATTCCTCATTGAAGTTACAGTGGGTCTAATTCATTTAAACGTATGGTATGACTGGGAAACAAAACATTAAAGCACCCTACAGCGTGTGCTCGGAGTTAATAAAATAAATCTCCCGCAAGTGTATGCCCCCGTTTGGAGTCTCGCAGTCACGCTCAGGAAAAGTAATCTTCGACAGTTTCCGTAATTTTTCGGAAAAGACCAAACCAATCAGCTAAAAGGTGGGCAGAGCTATTATCCGATTTTCACACCAGGGTGTTTCTTAATTAATCGAATATCCATGCAAACGAAGATGAACATTTGGTTTTTGAATATGCTTTATCAATATTTTGAATAACTGCTATCTATAAGTTTCAATATCTCATCTTGATAAGTTAAAAGTTTGGAAGGTCTAGGTAGCTTCCTGTCTTCTAATTGGCTGGGACTCACTTCGTTGTATTTTTAAATATAGCGGTTGGGCAATTTAGCTTTGCTTCTACAGTCAATATGACCGATTTTTTGGTTTTATTTTGCTTAACGTTCTATCAACATCCAAGGTCATTTAAGGACGTCCCTCCATGTGTGTTGTGTATGACTGCATGTGTGTATGTGTGCTGGAGACAGGATGTTGATGTATTTGCCTCCTTGTAATATCGCGGATCTGATGTCGACATTATAGTGTTATTTAAATGAAAAACCACGAAGGAACGCTAAGCAGGGAATAAGAACTACTATTGTAAATGTAAATACTTTAATATGTCCCGGCCTTGGGACAGAAATCACTGTCTTTCTCACCTTTAGGGGGACTTAAAAGTTTAAAAGATTAAAATAATAAAAAAGCGTGTGATGTAAAAGTGTTATCCTTGCGATATAATACTACGTGACAAGCCTTTGTCAGAAGCTGTTTTGCATGATTCTAGCAGTTTTCTTTTGAATTTTCATTTGCTGTTTTGTTTTAATTGAAAGTTTAGAACAATCCTTGATAATGGAATATAACCAGAAATATGATCGAATCACTCGTGGAAGACATCTTTAATATTTGTTCTCTTGTTTCGGTGACAGGATAAAATAATAAGCCTTGTCGATACGTGCTAAACATGAACATACCGAAACAAATCTGTAACTCTAGTACCATATGCGACACTTCTAAATGTATTCAATCTAAACTTATTTTTCAGAATTCTATGACTGTGAGTAATTCGGAACAGTGGTTCATCATGTTCACCTGCTTTCAAAAAAAGAATGTTTTAAAGGACGTGCAAAATACAAACGAATGCAGAAATCGAAGATATTATATTTGAAGAAATCTCATTAGACCTTATATCAAATATGACATAATATCCCGGAGCGGCTTGAAACCAGTCTGTCTAGGTTTTTCTCATTAAATTAACGTTTAAAAAAATGTCACAGAAACTTTTATTTCAGTAAACTCAAAGCTAAAGTGCAAGGGAGGGGCAGGGGGTAGGGGGGGAGGATGGTCTTTATATTTCTTAGACATTTTTTTTGGTTCTTATTGGTGCTTTTTAAGAAAATACACTGAAATAATTCTTGCCGTACATGACTTTATCATTACGATTAAACAATTTGCTTAATAATAAGCAGTTGTTCTTAACACCACTGTGGTCCCACAAAGTGTTTAGTTTAGTTTAGGGGGGATTTTCTTCTTCTTACTCCTATTCAAACGTACCAGTAAAATGTGCTTTATTTAAAATAATTATATCTTCATATCCGTTTTGTCCATCTGTTCTCATTAATATGCAAATGTCCATCTAAACTGTGTCCTAATGTCCAATAGATGAGTGGAATTAATACTAGCTTTTAGCTTGTTTTCCAAACCTCTTTATACTGTGTTTTGTAGTATGTTTGATATGCAAAAAAAATGGAAAAAAAAGTCTTGTTTAAACTAATTTGGTTTGGTTTGTTTGTGGTTCACGTCCTATAAACAGCTATTGTCATTTAAGGACATGCCAGGTTTGGTGGTGGAGGAAAGCCGGAGTTCGCGGAGAAAGCCACCAACCTGCTGCCAGTATCTGTATCTGGCGACTGCCTCGAACCTACGACCCAGTGGTGGAGGGCTGTAGTGATCAAAACGATCAAACGCCTTTACCACTCGACCACCGCGGTCCCTTTTTAAACCAAAACTTCATGAGTACAATATTAACAATACTTACCCCAACCAAAGAGATAATACCACAGGAGATACCTTGGCACTCTGAAGGCATGAACTATAAGTCGATGGAGGTAAAGACCCTCACAAAACATCCAAAAGTAATTAGCGGTAACCGAGTACCGCTTGAGGAAGTAGAGCAAGCGACAGCCAAACTAGTAACAAAAAAAACATGTGGCATAAATTTTTGATGACAAGAAAAAAGTTAGACAAACTAGTAAACAAAAACGACTAAGTCACACATTATGTCAGATTTATTTAAGCGTAGTAACGAAAGAAAAGTCAAAACAAAAACTGATTGACTGAAGACATATTATAAACAGGAAAATTAGACGTACTATAAACATAGGGTTGTCTTTATTGAATTGATAACTAAATATAGAATATACAAATGACTGAACACCTTACCTCCATGTTGATGCAAAACTTATCTTTATCATATAACTGATCCATTTTACTATGTCATACGGCCATTCATAAATATAGTAGTGCACACGTGTAATAAAACCTGATTGTACTGCGACTGGTTAATATTCCTACGCCACTTCCGGTACTGCTGTTATTTACTCTACTACATAATACATTTACCGCTGTTTGAAATGTATTTGCATATATATTTTGACTTTATTATTTTCATTGCATTTCAAACCGACCATTTCTTTAAAATTCTGGAACTACTTTGTACTTTGCACGACAATACTTTGATCAGAATACTTTGGTTTGACCTATCTAGAGTCAGCTGATAACACATTATTATGTTTGGAGATAAATACAAATTAGGAATGTTATGTGATAAATACATAATCTACGTTCGTGTCCATGTCATAATGAATATATAGGGGATATTTAATGGTGTCTTCAGTAATAACAAATATTTTTCAGGATGATCAAAATATTTAGCGGCACGAGTGAAAAATATTTGTTATTACAAAAAACACCACTGAATTTTCTATTTATTCCATTTTTAAAGCAAAAAACCTGCGCGCCATTTTGAATGGGATACTCAACGCAATTCCGTCGTTTTCTGCTATTTTCTGGTATGCTTGCTTATACAAATGTTATTAATTGTATATTTATGTAAATATTTAAGTGTGTGCACCAAACATTTACCATAACAACCGCTTATTCTACCGTCGCTTCATTTGATTCTGAACAAAAAATCGTTGCCGTTGAATGCAGCGAACAGAAGATACCGTTATGATTGGTCAATACCAAAAAGTGATATTTTCACACTGAAAATATCACTTTTGATATTTGTCACAGTGTAAAAGGATATCAGTTTTATCAAGTTGATATAACCCGATATTTCATGGGCAAAAATGTAGTAAATTAAACATTATTTAAACCCGTTCAATAATTTGATATTACACTTGCCTAACGGCTTGTCATATCAAATTATACTCGTTTATTAATTTCTATATGACATGGACACTCATGTAAGATCCTCTAATTACTAAACTCATGTATTACGAGGTTGTCTTAAGTTACTTACCGAGTTTCGATGCATTATGGTTTGGTGACGCGGATGATCGAGAAGATCGCTGTACACAAAGAGGTCCCACAACAGTGTGAAGACAGAGGTCAGGACGAAGGATATGAAGAGACACAAATGGAGTCGTATTCGCTGCTGTGACCTCAACTGTCTGCGATAATAAGTATTTGTAAAATACTAAACAAAGTTTAACAATACAACTGGAGGTATTTATTACAATATATTTGTATGTGGTGTGGTTCTACAGTTTACCAAACTTGTCTGTAAACGACATTATGCATTATGCATCTGTTATTTATGTTGATAAACTTTCCGTTTTTCTGGAGATATAGTATAATACATACTTTTTTCCTCCTTAACTGAAATAACTAACGTATCCACTTAAACTGAAATAATGAACGGATCCACTTAACTTCTTAAGCTAAAATACCTAACGAATCCACTCTAACCTAAATGACTAACGAATCCACTTAAACTGAAGTGACTAACGGATTAACTTTAACTGAAATCGCGGTAGTTTTGGCCAGGTCCGATCATAGTTATATCCAAAGTAAGGGGAGGGTGCTTTTTGTATTGTTGTTTGTATGCAAGACCACAGTGGAATTATCTAGGACTTCGAGTGCAGTTGGACAGGAATCGTTGAGTAATCAAATGAAGATGTATATATATATATTTATCGTAATTAAATACACGAGTATACATGTACATAAGTGAATCTTCATTCTACAGAACAACAAAATGAATGAACACCTAGATCTAAGATGGATCAAAAAGACGAAAAATATAAAGAGTTTAAATCAACGCACACGCTGGACTTGTCCACATAGTTTTATTTATAAAACATTCAAAATTATCATCGTCGTAGTTATTACTATTTTTTACTAAAAATACAACAGGGTAGAGCAGGAATTCAGATAAATATGGAATACATTGTGAAAAGTGTATGAAAATTCAAAGCATCTATAAAACAACTTGCAAACAGTTATATATTGTAGTATATATACTAGTAGAACAGAATAATGAGACGTCTAATGAATACCTTTATTTGTTTACATGGACAAGAATGGTACTTGTGATTAAGGTAAACACGGAGAAGTAGCCGTTGTAGTATCTCAATCAACCGTGGTGCGAAAATAAATAAAAGTAAATACCGTCGTGAAAATAATACGTTTATTGATTTGAAACTAAATTCTATTCGTCGCATTTCATAAAAATAATCATTTTTCAATAGATTAATGAAACATGTTTTGTTTCAAACTCTTTGGCATGTTCGTGCATCAGGTGATTTATGATTCGAAATTGAAAGTCTGCTCAGCAACAACGGTTGAAAGCCTGCACAAATGAGCTTGTTGCCCAGTGATAAGGGCTGCCGGGTCGATTCAATCTCTTGATATTGAAATAGTTCACCAGCTTCAAAAGCAATTAACAATCCATGATGACAATATAGTTGACTGGAACTGGAAACAAGGACAGATTTATCCCACTCCCCCCCCNCCCCCCTTTAATCAGAACGTATACAGGTCAGATTTCGAGGACAGTTTCATTTAAATAAATTCAATTAAATACTGTTTTCAATTTTTTTCTGATGTCGACATGTATCAATTATAGCAATACATTTTCAAGGTTTTATATGACTTCCTTACGAATATAATCATGATGTTAAATTGAATGTTGTTCATCTCTCGCTCTTAAACTTACCATTTCTGTACCTGATGAAAAGCATCGTGAAATATGTTACATATGGTGGAGGAAATGCTCATCTATAAAAAAGTGGCCCCAGGACCATGAAACAATCTAAGACTTAAGTGTTTGCTTAGCCAATAGCTGTCGCTTTCCATGACATTATTTGTAATTGGTTAAGTCGAAATTTAAGACAATTTTAGACAAAAGGTTTTTTCATGCTCTTGGGGCCTGGCTGCACTACTTTTGGTCTGTGAAAAGGAAGGCCGAGAAGGTCATGACCTCTTTCGCTTTAAATTTTGATTCCTGTTGTTATCTTTTTTTGTGATGACTTTGCGTTCTAATAGTGATTTTGTGTTGAAAATCTGATAATGTTTATTTTTTTTCGCAACAGACAGTAACATCGGTATGCATACGTACTTGATGCAGAGGAATATGATGATGGCAGGTGTGAGCAGGATTAAACTGAAGGAGCAGCAAGCTATACCAACATACACGACGGACTTGTACACCTGCAGGAAAAATCACTGTACTTATTACACAAAACTGGGTGCAAAAAATGCAAAATATTGTTTAAAGTTTTACAAGACATATGAAGAATACAATGAAGAGGAAAACAAAACCTTGCCTATAAAACCATTTCTTCGCATCTCAGTACTGTATTTTATGTAAATTGTGTCAGATTAAATTTCTGTAATGTCGTGGAAAACTTCGGAGACTGATAAAAAAAATTGAATTTGAGAAATTGAGACTAATTGCACAAGAAACAATGTACAAAAAAGTAGCATAACAAATCAAATGCAACATACAGTTTCAGGTACATATCTACATATATCCATAGTTGGTATGTTTACGTCATAGCGTCCATTAACGTCACGTTGAAATGATATTATTTCGTCAGTTGTTTCATATTAAGAAACTAACTTTTATTACATTTCTATTTTGTAATTATAAAACAAAAGAAGAAAAATACCCCATAATCGATTCTAAAAACTACACTGTTGTTTGGAGGAGGCTTTTGCCCCGTTTCAGGTCGTAATACAAACTAGAATATGTGACGGTCGCGAATAGCAATGATTTTTTTTTTTTTTTTTTTTTTTTATTTTCAGANTTTCAGAGCTGACTGACATTGGTTCTGGCTGTATGCGGCTTTGCTGTACAAAAAAAAATCCTCACGGGCTGTATATTTGATTCCAAGGGCGAAGACAAAAATTATCCAATTCTGTTGATATCATTTCCCTAGTGAGTAACGCATTCATGTACATAGAATAGAGAAAAGATCTCATTATCTTACTAATGAAAGCACCAGACACACCTCCAAAATAAGGGAAAACTCCTTTTGAGTGAAATGTGTGACGTATATAAAAATATTGAGTAGGTGAAGCTATCTTTTGATCCATCTGAATCCTAATTTGACGAGACACCTAATCCGAAACATAAATATCCAATCGATTCTATACCAACACAATCAAACACACACTTCGATATCTTACGATCAGCTCTAATTTGCCATTAACATGTATCCCCCGCGCCCAAACCGTAGACGTGCTATTTCACATAGTATACTCAAGAGTGTTCTCAGATACCCAACACATGATGTTAACGTGGTGAATCAAACCTCGGATGTCGACATCGATCCCTGGTTTCATAAACACTGAAGTTTAGAAATAGGTTGTTCTTAGAATTGTAACATATATTGCTTAATCCTTTCAAATATTTTTAATATAAGAATACATGTTTGCAAATGTATGAAAAATATATATCAATGATTATAGACAATATTATCTGAATACTAATCCATGTTTTAGGAGCTTAAAAAAAATATTCTTTATTGAAGTAAACAAGCAACTGTATAATTTAAAGTTCGATTTCAAGTGATGTTACGAAGAAAATGTATTAAGATTGCATGTTACCTGACACGATTATATCTGTAACTTATATACGAGCTGTTTCCCCAGTTATTTAATTTTAGGTCAGCAGAGTCATTCAGGAGCCTGTCCTCTGTTGTCGTGTGTCGTCCGTAACTAATTATATCTTTTACTTCTCCTAAGAAACATTCTCGTTTGAATTTGATTTGATTAGTTTCCTTTCCTTAGCAGGAACATTTTAGTTTGCACTGTGCATAAAGATGATTTGTTTCTGTAACGACTTTCAACAAGCACCCTGCTTACAAATCAAATACAAAGGGATATTCTATTAAAGAGGCTTCATTCTAAAGCAAGCACTTGATAGATTGTCACCATTTATCCCGCGAAGTTTGAGCTTTATAACGGGGTTAACTAAACTATCAGTTGAGCCTATCACGAATTTGTTATAAAAAAAGAGTAAGGAATTATTTTCACATAGGTTGGCATTAAGCGCGTTGTTGGTTATTGTGTCAGCGACGTTGTCTTGTGTGTTTAATACGTAGGTTGAAAAAGGCGTCAATACGTTCCGATAACTTCTGTCTTAACTCACCGTTGTCGACGTCATACCATCAGTCCACGACTACTATTGACGCATCTACTTCTATTACTTGTACAAACTCCCGGACTGTATCTCTTGCTCTGTAGCATGTCTTACCATTGTGTCAATGAATATATTGAAAGCAAAATAAATATGCTTCCTGTAATTACAGCTTTTATGTGATATAATGGCATTAACAGTTCACAGAGCAAGAGGATAGTTTGCCCTTTCTGTTTTGTAGCGTATATCTTCAACGTAAAGGCTAAATGACTTGAGTATCAGATATAATAGTTATATGCAATAAGAGGATTACGTCGGATACATTCAGGCAAAGCAAGAGATTCTATAACAAGGAAACATTTATTTCAAAATGTAGTCTCTCGATGCAGAAAGAAAAAACACTAAGTATTTAACTTGACCATATAAAAATCTCGTTCTTTTATAACTCATCAGAGTTATGTTAGTTCAGATGAAAGAAAACAAATGAAACTATTGTTTTGTTTCGATAACAATTTGAATTATATTGTAAATCCCTGCACCACTACTGAAATGTAATCATGAATCAGAAACTTTTTACCGACATGATCATAACTTTGATAACCAATATCTAAGAAAAATCAAACGCTGTACTTCCGACGATGATGATGTCTCTCTTACTAACTAGGCGTCATGGTTAACGGTTTACATTTTTCCAGACGCGCTATAATTAAATCTTTAATTAATTTAAATAAATTTAATATTTATAAAAATAAAAAGGGAATAATGTATGTTCGAAAAACTAATGTGTAATGTTGTTTTTGTTTTTTGTTTTGTTTTATGCTTTTGCCTGCATAGGGACTGGAGTACTGTGTTCTGCGTACTAGTTTGGTTTAATTTCGACTGATTTCAGTGGAACAACAGCGCAAATTGGTAAGGTAATGTTTTTCTTCTCCCAACTGTTGTTTTATATATGAAAATTCCTGATAAAAGAAGAGTATATAGCGTCCTTTCGAAATTTTATTCTGCTTTACATAGTTGTTTTAACAATAGCTTTGCATTTTATGCGAAAATACACCGTTGCATAAGGTTAAATGATTGTTTAGGAATATTGGGAGCAGGATAGTTTGTAAATACAATTGTAAAATAATGCTTCATAGAATAAATGACAAAATACGTATGGAAAAAGTTAATTTTGACTAAAATCAGTCGAAGTGTAAACAGGACTCGGCATAAAACATCCGTTGCTCTTCATAACTACACGACAATGCATTCTATTATCAGTTAATTAGACCCCCTATTGTTTGATTAGCGGTTGTATTTGCCATGTTCTCCATCTAACCATATTTATAAATAGAATGTTGATTACAATGTATACAAACCATTATCTTGAGACAGGGAGAATAATCTGTCCATTCTCGGTAGTACACCTGGTCTTTCCACCAGGTGGCGTTTTCAGTGCAATCCTTGGTCGCATAATCTGGAATAGAACGTAGACGTATTCGTTAAATGAACAAATTGAATAATAATTTATTATTTCTCTAATTGTACAATACAAGTTGCATGCGGAGAGAGGGCGACCTCATATTTCTCCATTCTGGTATATGATGTACCATGCGCACCACCCTGGTATAAAAAATGCATAGACTTACTATTATTAACACTGTTGAAACGTCAGCTCAAGGTAATGCTTACCACGAAAAGGGCGGATGATCATTAGCTTAAACTTAATGAACATGTACAATCGCTTGTGTTGACAACTTTAAGAACAAGGATTTGTTATCATGTTAAATTTTAGTTCCACAGGTAATGTAACTTCCATGATGAGTCATTCGCAAGGATCATGGGATTTGTATCTGTCGGTTGGTTAACTGTATATCTTATATTTATCGAAAGTTAGAAATCGTCATAGATCCTTTGAAAATGAAAGAATATATACCGAATAAGATTAAGTACATCTATGATGGTTTTTGTGGTGACATGTTTTAATACTTTTAAGATTGCACCAGAATAAGTTAAAATATTGTAGCAATCTGCCACAGGAGGAGACTTTATATGCTTTTCAACGGGAAACTAATACCTATTTTGTTAAACTCTATAATGACAAATTGACTTACAGCGGGAAAGCCTTTTGATGTATGGGGTTGAACGTCAGTTTATGATGAAGGACATCAATGACGTCACAATCAAGGGTTTGGTTTGGTTTAGTATTGTTTAACGTCCTATTAACAGCTATGCTCATTTGTGGACGGCCTCCCCTTTGTGCAAGATGCATACGTGTAGTGTATGCGTGTGTGTTTTGTGAGTCTGTGATATCTTCGTGTTTGTCTCCTTGTGATAGCACAGAACTGATGCCGACTTCATTGTGCTACCTTACTGAAACATACTGTCGAAGACACCCAGCAGGACACTCCACCCGGTCAAAATATACTGACAACGTCGCCCGTTGTCTGTATAATGTGACCGGGTGGGGTGTCCTGCTGGGTGTCGTCCCACTCCTAAATTGCTGAGCGTTAAGCAGGAGTAGAAACTACCATTTTTACAGACTCTGGTACTAATAGTATGTCTCGGCGGCCAGGGAACAGAACCCAAAGCCTTCCTCACAGGGGGCGAACGCTCAACTAAAGGCCAAAATCGAGGCATTATCAAGGGAGACATTAGGAAGAAGAAAGTTGTTAAGAAAAAGAAAAAAAAGATACGATCCCAAATTAAGTCGCCTATTAGGATCATGCAATGGGGGCAGCAGGTACAATTATATTCATTCGTGTTACAGGGACTCACACTAAGGCAAGGTCAAATACGCTCCTTCTGATTGTTTTTTTATATTCATTCGTGTTGTATCCTCAATGAAGTTTCATTCGTTGGAACTCAACTTACATGGCAGTTAATACCTAGTAAAAATAACATTTTTTTATATTTCTAACTGCAGTGAAAATTAAACTTCGTAAGATAAATAATTCACGATTTTACAATTGTAATAAAACAAGATACCATAGCTCCACCACAAAAGTACAAATTCCAAATTAGAATTCCACACTAAAGGACTGTTAAAAGAATGGACGAAACATACAAAAAGACATCGTTAACACTGATTTGGAGAACGTGAAGACAAAACCAGGTCCCATATATTTTGACAGAATTAGAAATTTGAATAGCGTCAATCTATGAAGTTAATTATTAAAATACATTTTTTACATGCAGGTTCTGCTAAATGAACACGATGTAAATATGAATTATTTTACTGAATTCAGACAGACTCTTATCAGACAGTATCTCATTTTAAATAACGAGTCGGGAGCAAGGGTTCCGGAAGTGTGAGCGTTTCCTTTTCTATGTAATATACAAATGGATGTGAATTAGATTCCTACACTTTCTAATTGTTCACTAGTTATGTAGGCCATTTATAATATGTTAGCGATTTCCAAATAGAATGGTAGGACCAACCCAGTGATGATATGTGTCACCAAATATATAAAGCTGAATAGAAAGTGTGATGATTGATGATATGACAATTTGCTAAGCGTCTTTGAATGATACAACTCACCGTACAAGAAAAACGTATGGCTGACCGGGTATATCCCAGCGACCGCTTTCGTTTATAAAAATGAATTCTTCTTCACACCAATTTATTTCGTTCTCGGTCTGGTAGTGGTCATTTGACGGTTGTCATTTATCTCCGTGTAATTCAAAGTCTTGTCAACCTTCGACAATAGTGCTGCTTTATTAGATTATGTACCACTGATACACACAGATTCCCGCAAGTCCCATGAGTATTATCTATTTATATCTGACATCATACTAGAACACAGACCTAAATCAAATAACTCGCTACCATGCCGATAAAACAATGCATGTTTGTGTTGATACAGTAGGTATAGCATTGACAAGCTGCAGCATCTGATAACGTCTTGGAAAGTTTTCGGTTAACATCGATATCAGTTTTGTATCAATCAGATAGTCCCTCCTCATTTCCATTGATATCACGTCCGGGAGTACAATAGAGTTACCAAACACTGTTTGTCATATAGAGAACGGCCGTGGCAGGAGCGATTGATCGCTTGACACATTGCCAACGAAGAGGTGATAGGGTGTTTTTGAATTGATAGTTCCCCAGAGTACAAAGCTAACAAAGCTATACAATGTATGAATTGAGCAAGATTGATGACAAGGATTGTGAAACAAGGGCTTGAGTGTATGTGAATGTTGTGTCTGACCTTTTATATTAGGGCACATAGGTACAATAATCAAGTTGTTTAAACGTGTGAAATAAAAAATGGAATAACAAAGAAACGGGCAACCTATTTAAATCAAATGTTTGTAGATGCATTGAGACAAAATTATCATTTTACTGACCATATGGTTGAAACGTATGCAGATGTATACTTTTGTTTGGTCTTACTATTTGATAGCAAAAAGTCGAAAATGTCTTGATGATTCTTTTTAAACGACTGTTTCATTCTTTGTCTTCGCTTTACTGCATGGTAGGTTTTTTTAATTGGATTTAAAACAAATAAACACTAAAAAGATAAAGAAATTTAGTCAGTAAATGTCGGAAAAGATGACATCTAAGGTGAATCGAGTAGCAGTAAGGGTTAAAAAGAAACATGGCGTACATAATAAGCTACCATATACTAGAGTGAACTGTAGTTTGAATGTAGTTTGTTCGGTCTTTACGATTATTAAAAAATGGTAACATGATTTTCTAGACAGCTTGGTCCTGTTTCCCTTTATGTACTTTGCCATGGTTTCCTACAAGAGAAGTTTAATATACGCTACAGCATGTGAAAGGTAGTCATCATGATCTAAATAACAAATATCACTCGAGGTAAAAAAAAATTGCATTCTTCTCGTTTTTTCATAAATGTGTGTATAAACCGACGGAGCTAATTAAAATTGCCTACTAAAAAGAAAAAAGGTTTTTTTTTCCGAAATACATTTCAACAAAATGATACTTTCATGAAAATGAAACTGGGTCGCTAAATATCAAAGAACGAAATAATTTGTACAAGTATTAGCTTGTCATTCCCTCAGTCAAAATTTGCATTTACTTTGTGGTTATCAAATCAGGTTTGATAAAGGTTAGCTGTCCATGGCTAACTGCCTACCATTTGTTGTCTCCTGCATACTGCAAACTATCTAATTCTTGTTCATAACATTGTTATACCTTCTATTTAGGGGATATGAATAAACCAAAGAATAGACCTGCTGCAGACCACTGTAAAAGGCGACTAATGTGGAGCACCCTGCAGAATCGGGGCTTCTTTCCGTGTCTGGTACGAAGGGGACATTGAAGAGACTAAATTTGATCTGCTGCCCCCATTGCAATACTTGGGTTCCTTTTTCGTTTCCTGTCTTTCTTATGCTCTTTTTTTCTGTCTACTTTCTGTTTTAGACAGTGTCTCCCTAGGCTCCTGTCCTCATATGACCCTGATTGTTTCAAGGACATTAACTCCCAAAAATAAAATATTCCACTGGCTTGCTTTCCATTTTTAAATGTTTACTGCTTACTATTTACTGCCCGTTGACTGTTTTTCCTTTTACTGCCTCTGCGTACTTGGTACTGTCCTCCATTTTGTTTAAATGTTCGAAAAAAAACCATAGGAATGTAATTCACGGCCTTATACAAACCGTGTTCATTAATCATCTCTCGACCTCTTTTTATAGTTTAGATTGATGAATTGGCGTTAACTTAGAGCGCTAATGATGTGGCCGTCTTTTATTCATATTTAGTTTCAAGCATCGAATACGCTCATTTACCTTAAAACGTGCGGGATACAATTATGTTATAAGAAATTGTCGATTGATTTCGTTGAACGTTGTAAATGTCATTTCAAGATGTAACATATTTAAAGCTTTAGTAACAAATCTTTTTAAATAACCAGAAAATAATATAAAAAAAATAAATAAATAAGTTTTTAACTTTATGAGTGCTAGAACGCCATCTTCAACGGCTAATGACACTTGTCATGCCGCGAAAGCTACAGTTTCAAGTATGTATTGTATAATGTATATGATATCTTTAATTATTGTTCTGGTATTTATTTCCAAAATGTAGTAAAGCAGAAAATTGTTTCTACATACCAAATCTATTTAAAATCAGAACTCATTGCTGCCCCCTGGGAAATATACCCTCATATATGATATCGTATGGAACCTTCAGCATGATCTTAATTGGACAACCTGTCTACTTGCAGACAAGATTTGGACATAATCACACAACATACGCTTGGTAAAATATAAATCGATATTGGTCCACGTGTCACTTGATAGTCATAATCATTCCTTAGTCGCTGTTGTTGTTTGCATCTATCCAGGATAGTATTCAGAAAGAACTATTTCTGATTATAACAGCGGCCGTCAAAAAACTCCCCCAAACTATCCCCGTAGTCGTACAATATGCAAATGGAAGTCATTCTGCTGTTCACAGTGCCATAAGACTGCTAGTTATCAAATTTGAGCGAAATTGCACAATATTTGAAT